TATATATATATATATATATATATAACGCATGATATATATGCATACCCAGATGTCCCAGCGCCTGACAAATGGCGCATCTTCTTTGGTCTAGGTCGCTGTAGTTGACGCCATTTACGAGGGCGAGCTGTTCGAGGCCTCTGCGTTTGAATTCTTCGTGAGCAGGATGAAGAGGATCGAGCAGAGGCTCGACGAGAGCAACCGCGCGCTGTACATACACATACACCCCAGACCTCACGAGCTGTACGTACACCCGAAACCGGTGCGGTGCGGTGCGGTGTACGTACACCCGAAACTTGATGCAGAAACACGCAGCGAAACTTTTTCTCTAACGCTGCGATCCTCAGGGTAAATGCAGATCAAATTAAATTTTAAAATGTTTTTCTGTTTATTTATTTGTTTATATTTCTTTTCATTCAAAAGAATTTCAAAAATACACCGCTATTTATACACTCACCTCCACCGCCTCGTCGGTGTCGCCCATGATATGAACGTGCATCGGCATGCAGGCTTCTTCGTCTGTCTGATGATCTCGCTTTCCTTCTTTCTGTTTTTCACGCGCACACAGCCACAAAACATATTAATATAATATAATAATATATTAATATATTTAATATAATATTCGGGTGTATGCTAGTGCAAGCATTCCGGCGTAGACACGTACATGCATGTATTTTCATGTGTATGCTGATCGTGCAGCCAAACAGAGAGAGCGGAAAGAATATAAATAAACAAAGGAAAAAAGTAAATAAACCAAACTTTACCTGAGTGCCTCTGCCTCGAACAGAAATAGTGCAGCCGCTCTCCGCCTCCAGCCGTTTGTGGTTGCAGCCGCGAGGACCGATGATAATACCCATGAAGTTGTAGTCTGGGTACTGCACAAACAACAGCACTCACTCTACGCAGCTGTCTATACACCCGAAATCCAGCCCACAGCAGCCACCGCAGCACCAACAACAAACAAAACCAGCAGCAAAAAACAACAGCAACAGCAGCACCACCACGACCACCAAGAACACCCAGCAGCAGCAACAACAGCAGCAGAACGACTGCAGAAGGCTTATTACCTTTTCATGCGGAAACTCAATTCTGCGTATTTTCTTAGAGGGCCTGAAGTCTGGCGGCGGAGTGAAGCCCTCGACGTTGGCGAGCATAAACTCACACAGTCTTTGTAATTCATTTTGCATAGCTGTGCGTACACGTACGTCTCTGGTGTTTACTCTGCCACCATTTTTATCATATATAGGAGGAGGAGAAGGAGGACGAATGTCAGCATCAAAGAACTCTAATATGCCGTTGTTTAGCTTTCTAAATAACTCCTCCAGCCGCTGCTCCCGCAGAAACCGATCCACCTGCAGCGGCGTCATCCCGATAGGTAAATCAATAAAAGGCGGAGGAAGAAACGGCTTATCCTGTTTATAAAACAAACAAAAAAAAAGAGAAATAAATAACATACATATAAATAAATACATCTATTACGTTAAACAAATAAACACAAACAAACAAACTTAGACACAGACAAACAGAGAGCAGAAACACGTGCTCCTGCTGCTTCTGGGGCCCATCAGGCTTCCATTTCAACTGCTACGGCTAAACAAAAAGCAACAACCAACTGATGCTGCAGTATGAGCAGTAGCGCATCAGCAGAAATACCAGCATCTGATCAGCAGCAGCAGCTGAGCAACAGCAGAAGCAGCAGAAGCAGCAACAGCAGCAGCTACGGAACAACAGCAGCAGGAGCAGAAGCACACAGCAGCAGCAGAGCATCGTCAGCAGCAGCAGCAGCAGCAGCAGAGCATCGTCAGCAGCAGCAGCAGCAGCAGCAGCAGCAGGAGCAGTATATTGCCTGACCGTTTCGCTCCCCCATCTGCTTCCGTCTGCACTTTTTTTTGATTTTTCCCATCTGGATTTTCTGCCTTTTTCTTTGTGTGACATGGCGGCCTCGAGAGGCACGAGGGCCATCAGCTGTTCCATCGACATTTTGGTTAGCGGGAGAAAGAAAAGCAGAAAAAAAAATAAAAAGAAGAAAGCTGCACAGTATGCAACGGAATTACACTTTATCTTTATCTGCTCTATCTATCAATTACACAAAGAAAATACAATACCATATATATATATATATATATATATATATATATATATAACTACACTAACCAAATATACAACAAAATATATACAATGAGGCAAAGGACGCCGGAATCGACGGCCCGCCTATTGCCCTGGGCCCCCAGGAGCCCCCGGTGTACAGACTGCAAAATGAAAAACTGTAAAAAGTGAACAAAGCCAAAAGTAAATCAAAGAACAAACAACAGTCTGTCAAACCCTCAGGTGTACGTACACCTCAGGCCCCGCCCGCTCCCATACATATACCTACGCGGCCTGGCGCGTCCGGCGTTCTCAGTGAAACGCCCCACTTAACAAAAAGCAAAACACTAAAAATAAAGTATTTTCAATGCAAACCAATAAAAACCACAAACTCTGAAGCCGCCACTTCACAGAGAAAGCCCCGAAAGGGCCCCAAGCTTTCATATAAAGCGCTCGCAGCGTGGGGGCCCCTGACAGCAGCTGCTGGCGTCTGTTCAGTTGCGTTTGTCTTTAGATAAATAATTAATTTATTTAAACAATTTGAAGGAATTTAAACTCAATGATGCATTTCTTATTGAGTTATAAGTCTAGCTGGGAACGATCAACACTGCATCTGACCAACAGCTGCAGCAACCAGCCTTCTTCTTCTCCTTCTTCCTTTTCTTCTTCTCTTTGTGTTTAAAGAATCACATTAAAGTTTATTTTATTATTTGTTTACTTGCAAAAGTGGAATTCGTTTTCCTCTTTTATTGCCCCCAGTCTCATCATGAGCTGCGGTGTATCGGCAGCTCGGCGGCCAGACGTGCAGGCGTTGTTTTCGGGGTGCGAGTGCCGTTGTTTCCTGCATAATTTTTGTGTTTTTTTTGTTGTTTTATCGTTTATTTATATTTAATTAATA